TTCGGGAAAACCCTCACAACCCTTCTTCCTCTCCCAAAAATTTGGGGGAAAGGAGTTTTTAAAAAGCCCCCCCCCCCCCCCCCCCCCAATTTTTGGTTGCTCGCGACAGCCGTGAGATTATCAAGGATTAACTCGTTAAATATGCTTCTTATGTCGTATCATGACACACAAAAGTCCTAGAAAATTTTCTAATCAATCAAAATGTAGAGAAAACATCAATCTTGGAAATTTTCAAATGGCTTCTTACAGGATTTTTTTGTTAGCGAAATGTAAGGTTTTCTTTTTTTTTTTGTAACAGATCGCAAAACAAAATTTCAGATTATTTTTATCTAAATTATCTCTACAAAAGAATGCTTTTTTTTTGGATTTCCATTCAGATATTGAAAAAAAAATTATAGTCCGATAGAGTTGATTGTACTGATTACAGTTGCCACATTTTTTTTTTGAAAAGTACCTAGATAATAATAAGAATTTGATGTACTTTCTAAAAGTCATAAAAAAAAACAATTTTTGACCTGAAAGTTCATTAATATTCGATTTACATTCATCAAAAATAGGGCTATTTGATGCAGACTTGTTTCGCAATCAGATCTTCTTGGATATTTAATTTTTATATATAATGGTTCTTTCAGTCTTATGACGATATCGTTTTCACAGATGCACCAGAAAGATTGTTTTTGTTAATTAAATATGTAATTCAATGTGCTCTCTCTGATAATACTATTTTCAATTGGAAATTCGATATCTAGTGACGCAAGTCTGTTCCAACTACTATTCTTGAGATCCAATTTGTATCATTTTTAATTTATATTAAACAATTTTCAAAAAAAAAAAAATTCTCATTTGACTCCAAACGAAATATTCTATTTGGAATCAACGCAAAAAAACAAAGTTAACTTAGTTGTGTTTGAAATTGTTTCTGTTGCTATCCTTTTTTTGGGCATTTATTGATAGAAAAAGGCTTGAATATTTAAGAACTTCCTATAGATGCTGATAGCAAAAAAAAAAACATTCTATCTTAAATGAACCTATTTTTGACGAACTTTAATTGGTTTTCATATCAAACATTGTTTTTTTTAAGGACTTTCAGAATGTGCCCGAAATCTTTCTTATTATCTGAATACTTTTGACAAAAAAAAAAAAAACTATGATATTTATAACCTCAGATGTAAAAAATTGAGTTATGATAAAATATAAAATAAACCTGTGAAAAATAAATCGAAATCAATGTTGAATCGCCCGGGTAGGAAATTCAAGGTCAAACTTTTAGGTACTCCCGGTTCATGACATTACACGCCCTCATTTGTATTTGTCTATTAAACAAAAAGTGAATATTTCGTTTTCTTCATACCATTCTCTTTTGTTGTATGTTTAGCAACTTCAGTCATACTATAAGTTGGCAATGTTGGAATTCGTTGTCCAACAACGAAAGATGTATTCGTTTCCGCATGAAGAATTGGCTTATATTTTGAAAATAAATAACCTTACAAAAAACGAAAAAAGAAAAATTTTTATATAAATTTTCGATGTTGTTTTATTTCATAATTCTACCTGTAATAAGTCCACCTGTCAAAGTCGTTGTAATTATTTGAGGTGTAAACTTATGACGAAAAATATAGGTTAGACGTGATCGCATTTTATTAACCAATTACGATCTAAATTGTGTACTTAAATAATTAGACCTTTTTTAACACCATCTTTGATATTTAAAATGATTGATCAATCGTACGAACCAATGAAATAAATGTTGTCCTTGATTGACGTTACATATAGAATAAAATATTCGATTCGTCATTTGTCCGTCCATGATATAAATTCAATGATAATAATAATTATTATTCTTATCAATTAAATGACTTCAATGAGTTTAAACGAAGTTGTTTCGGATAAAACAAATGTTTTATTATCATCTGAACGACTTTTGCGTGATGTTCCACAAGGTTTACAAAATTATATGGCTATTGTATATTTAATTATTTGGTATATTTCATCGGGTGCTACACTCTTTTCAAATAAATATATTTTAAGTAGTTTTAATGGTGATGCTTTTTCATTAGGTATTTAAAAAAACGAGAACACAATCTTTTTTCTTTTTAGTATTTTTATTAAATAAATCATTTGTTTGTTTTGAAGGTATGAATCAACTTATTTTATCAATTTTAACTAGTTTTATACAAATGCAAATAATGAATAGAATATCAACACAAATACATAAAACTTCACTGAATATAAAAAATATTTTTCAAGATATGTTATTTATTGGAGCATTTCGTTGTATTACAGTTGTTTTAGGTTTATTAGCACTTAAATATATTGTTGTTTCATTTGTTGCAACAATTAAAGCATCATCACCATTATTTACAGTTATTATAAGTAGAATTATAATAGGAGAAAAAACAGGTCATTGGACTAATTTTTCTATGGTACTAATTACGATTGGTCTGGCTTTATGTAGTTCATTTGAATTAAGTTTTAATATGTTGGGATTTTTATGTGCTTTAGGAACAGTTTTTTTTGAATGGTAAGAAAATATTTAATTAAAATATAAGTAAAATTAAAAAGAAATTTTTTTTTAAAGTTTACAAAATGTTTATTCAAAAATATTAATCAGCGGTGAACGTTATCGTTATACAGCAGTTGAATTACAATTTTGGGCAAGTCTTGTTGCTTCAGTTTTTCAATTACCTATACTTTGTTATAATGTGGATATTTTATCAGCAATTGGTTCAACGTCTTCAATACTTTTCCTATTATATATTTTTAATGGTATAGCATATCATATTCAATCATTTGCTGCTTATGCTGTTATGGCTTATATATCACCAATAACACATAGGTAAAGTATAAGTTTAGTCAATTTGTTTTTTTTTGAGTATCATTTAATCTTGTTAGTGTTGCTAATACAGTGAAACGAGCTTTATTGATATGGTTATCGGTACTTATTTTTAAAAATCAAGTAACATTTTTAAGTGGTTTGGGCACATTAATTGTTATATTTGGTGTTATACTTTATAATGAAGCACGTGATATAGAAAAAAAAGTTGGCATTTCAAATAATTCAGTAAATGATACTAGTCCAATAGTTATGCGCAGAGATGTATAGAAAGAAAGACAAGTTTTTAAATTTCTTGATATTCATTAAAACAGATTTATCACAGCACTCAAAAGACAAAGATATGACAGATATAATCAATCAATTGTTTTAGTGCCATTTTGTTTTTTGCTTTCCATCACAATTTGTATGTGTGTAGCAATTGAATGCTTTTTTGCTCTGTTTATTCAATGTTGTAATTAATACAATAAAGATATTTCTAAACTTGAAAGAAATTATTTTCTAGTGTATAGTGATAATGTTGTTGGGAATTATGAAATGTTTCGTTTTCTAGTACAATCATTTGTTTTTTTTTGACTTGCGGGATTGTCATAACTTAAAAAATAGCTGAAATTTTTCACAGAAGCAAATTATATAAAAGTTATAGTTTAATTAAAATTTTCATTTTATTTGGTTGAACTATGATGACTTTACTTGTAGGTGGCGTATTGCTTTTCAATTTTTCTCGATGCATTAGTCATGGTTCAATTAACTCACTTGTACTTCACACGTCACCATTATTTCGAAATGAGAAAAAATTTGTCGAGAGTGTGATCAGTACACACCTTAAATCGTTTTTTCAAAAACGTGACTCTGTTCAAGGCTATAAAAATCTAGAAAATCGTTATGGTCATACATAGTTCAATTTGAAAAAAAAATATTGATATTTCATATACTATATGCAATAATTTCCTATTCCTAGAAATTTTCTCGCTACGAGAAAAAAAAAGTTTTCATATATGTATGTCTGTGACTATGACAACGGACTTCACGATGATGAATTTTTTTTCAAGTTTCTTCCTAGAAATCTGTTATTAAAACATGACAGTAGCGCAATTCGGGCTTGGAGTAACACTCACCAACTTTTTTTTGATTCGCTAAAAAAAAACATATAATTTTGACAATGAAAGAAGGTAAAGTTTGGCGGATCCAAAATACGTGGAATCGAAAATCTTTTACTGATAACTGGAGAGCTGTACAAATATTCATAATATAAAGTTCAAGAAATCAGTCTACGATTGCACCAGTTGTAAACTATCTACATTTCTCACAACTGGATGGAAAAAGAAGTAAAAAAAATAGCTAGAAATGTGATTAAGGTTCCGAAAAAAAATCAAACATCATCAGAAAATCAATTTTTCAGAAAAAATATGATTCAATACGCACTTTCATAATGATTATGATTATGAGCCATGTCCCTGTTTAAAACGAAGCCTTAAGGGGACCCCCCCCCCCCCTTTCCGGCGTTTCTAAGCAACGGTCGATCGAAAATTCCTGAAACTTTCAGGGGTAGGAGGCGCCG